AGCAAAATGGAATTATATTTGAGATGTATGTCTATGATTTGGGGGGTTAGAAAAAGAAAAACACAGCTTAAATTTTCCCACTCTTTGTTAGAAAAACAAAAATTTAGGAGTATTTCAGATTTATATAATATTTATGGTTTTAATTTATTTTGTGGATACAAATAAATATCACTATGAAAATCTACCACATTTTATTTATAATTAAATATTTAAATTTCAGTTGGATTTTCTCTTTTCAATAAAAAGAAATATGCTTTTTTTTCTTTTTCTTTTTTCCTTTTTTTTTTTTTTTTCTTCTTTTTGGGCATTTGGAGTCACAGAGTAGAGTAGCCAGTTTCCTCTAAAACTTTGACTTTTTCTTATCTGCTCTGACCTATAAGATTTGAATAATCAGAGCATTAAACTCTTCCTCATTTCTGCAGTTGTTCATTGATTGGTGGGCCTAGTTTGAAGGAAGGAAACATACCAACAATTAATCAGCAGTCATTAAGAGATATCTACAAGGAAATGAAGGGCCTGCATATTTTGTAGGAAAAGAAAGGAAAAAAAAGGCAGAACTTTATGGAAACTGGAATTTCTTTTGCTTTTGAGCTGTTCTTGAGCATTCTATTTTGCTTGTGTCCAGTGTTTAGGAATTGCAATAGTCTGATATTATGTTAATTAATATCAATAACTTCTATTTGCATTCTTATAAATTATTTAATTTAAATACAAAATGTGGGGGTGAGAATAGATGTATTAGTTATCTATTGCTGGGTAAGTTGCCCCAAACCTAGGGACTTAAAACAATTTTGTTTTTGTTTTTATTTTTTAATCTTGTCCAGTTTCTTTGGATCAGAAATTCAGCAGCGGCCTAGGTGTAGGTGTCTGGCTCAAGATCTTTTATCAGGTTTGTGCAAGAAGGAAGTGCTTTCCAAACTGAGAAAATGCTTTGAGACCAAAGAAGGAGGCAGGCAGGTCCATACAGGATACAAAGATATTTATTACAGGGGTGACTTACATACAGGAAAGTTGCATGCAGCAGAAAATTAGACATCTACAGTGGATGAAATCTTTGGCTCTCTGGGTTTAGGCAAAGCTTATATAGCAAAAGCTCTGTTACTAAAAATAACTTCAAGGAAACATCTTAAGAAAATAAATTGATAACATTATTTACCACGTGTCTTATGATCTATGATGTGGGGGTCTGTGATGTGGGGGTGTAGACTGCTGATGCCACATGCTGTAATAAGTCATTCACTACCTGAAACCTATGTTCCCTTTATAGGCTGTCTTAAGGTTAATCTGTAATTGGTCAGTGAAACAAAGGAATGAGGTTAAACAGGAGTCAACATGGTGGGTGGGGCATAACATGGCATTATTTTTGTTCACCATCTAACAAGGTTGCAGTCCAGATGTCAGCCCATGTTGTATGTAATCTGTATGAAGGTTTGACTGGGATTGGAAGATCCACTTCCAAGGTTTCACCCACATACTTGGCAAATTTCTGCTGGCTGTTGACAGGAGCACTCAGTTCCTCACCGTGAAGACCTCTGCATAGGGTGCTTGAATGTCTGTATGATGTGGTGACTAGTTTATCTCAGGGTGAATGACCAAAGAAAGAGAGCAAGATGGAAGCCACCATATCTTTTATGACATCATTTCCACAACATCCTATTGGCTGTACAAATTAACTCTGATCACTGAGGGAGGAGAATTCACAAGGGTATGAATACCAGTGGGTGAGTGCCTCTGAGGGCTATCTTGGAGGCTGGCTACTGAAATAGGAGGAGATATAATTTTTGACACATTTTTTATGTGTCCAATTAATGTTTGAATAACCTTAATTTAAGTTTTACCAAAAAAAATTACTATTAGTTTTCAAATATTACCTAATATTACTATAAAGATTTCTAATTTTTATCTTCTTTTCTCAAAAATTGCACATATTGGTATACATTGATTATTGGTCCATTTCAATTATTTGTATAATAGATAATATGGTTATGGGAGAATTATATCTAGGTAAAAGGAATTATTTAGTGAGGCAGGGCTTTCACTGAGGATAAGCTCAGCACACTGAACTTCCCACTGCTGTTCTGTAGAACCCCCCAAATTCATCAAGGCTTCAGCAGACATTTATTGAATGCCTTTATGTGCTAGGCATTGTGAATGCAGGTGTCAGTGCAAACATTTAATCATCATATTTGCTAAGTATTATAATAGAGCTACAGTTGTTGAAGATCACGGCTCTGAAGTCAGTTTGCTTGAGTTCACTTCCTGGCTCCTCTATTTGTTAGCCATATGACCTCGACCAGTTACTTCACCTTTCTATTCATTTGTTTTCTTTTCCGATTATTCGCTTATGATAGTCTGCCTACCTCATAAGGTTGTTGTAAGGATTCAGGGAATAGTGCCAGTGAGTACTAGGTGTTAGCTGTTTGGAAATTCCTGGAGTGACTAATTTGGATGAGGGAAGGTTTCTAGGGGGCAGTGAGATAACATTTGAGCTGTCTCTTGGAAAGCAAGTTGGAGTTTGGCCAGCACAAAAAGTTGGTGGGGCCTGGAATGCCAACCCAAGGTGGAACTAGAGGCAGGGAAGTTGGGCAGTGGGGTGAGGCTGGGCACGCCATGTGAACGGGGCTGCAGGTGAGCTTCCACGGTGGCTGGGAAGTACGCGAGGGTCTCGTGCAGAGCACTCACTGCATTGTAAATTTTCTGAGATCATCCCTGCTTACATCTCTTATTTCTTGTTGTCTTCATAAGTACTCTCACAACTGTCAGCTCTTATGTTTGTATTTATAGTTAGAAAAATTTGTCACTAGTTATGGGACAAACAAAAGGAGGTTGAACTTTTTTGTGGATACCGTCAAAAGCAGTAGAATGATAGGATTTTATCTTTTCGGCTTGTTTGCATTTGTAAAATGTCCTGTTTGAAGGGTGAGCCATGGATTGAGTAGTTAGGATGGTTGTCGTAGTCAAGGGGGAGACATCGGAGCCATCAAAGGACTGGGAAGGGGGCACAGGTACACAAGAGACCATGTCCTTCACGTGTTCCCGACAGGTGTGGCATTTCCCACAGGCATCCTAAAGCACACTCCCAGGCCCCAACAGAACTGGGACACTGCCATCCCACCTCAAAGAACCTTGACTCATTCAGAGTTTTGTAATCATAAAATTCTAAAAAGGAGAGATTTTAATATCAGCATATATGTAAATTCATGTTGTTTTGAATTATTTAGGAGGGGGTAAGCACCATAATCTTCTTGGCCTTTAAATATCTGGTTCTAGTGATAACCTTATGTTATAGACAAGAGGAGGTAGTGATGATGTCAATTCTAGAAACTCCTTCTTAACTGCCCACTTCACACTTGCAAAAGTTTTCTTGAAAACACAGCTAAAAAGAGAGATAAGGCTTTAAAGAAGAAAACATGGGTAGGAAGAGATTTTTATTTAGGCAAATAAGAATACTTTCACCAACCAGGCTGGATTCCAGATAGCTTCCAGACCCAAGGATGGGAGTTGGGTGGTTGTTAGTCTATTTAGATTCTTCTCACTTGGTTCTGAATTTGCCGCCCAGTCCTCTTTCCCAGCAGGGTTGACCCTTTATTGCTTTTTGGCTGATACCCTCCATTGAGAGGCTCTTTTACCAAATTGCGTCAGCCTCAGATTTATGTATTTTTCTAGCTTATTTAAGGGGTAGCTGGGGCTAGTTGAAGCCAAAGGCTCTAACTCAACATCTGGTATAAGATGATGAAGCAGGAATTTTGTGATATCTAGTTGGCCTAAGGCCTATTAATTTTCATTGTAATAAAAGCTTAATGTGACTGCTACTCTTTTTCTTTTAAAACTTGGAATCATGCAATACCGCGCCTTTGTGTTACAACTGTAGCACTATGCAAAAAATAATCAGAAAGCTATTGGCATTTTTATAACAACTACTAAGTTATATGAAGTGTTAGTCTAATATAATAGCCAGATTTGGAGACAATGTCTCCATTCAGGGGTATAGCAGGTATGCAGGGAGAGCCTAACTATGGAAGGGGAAACTTTGTACTAACTTCTCCCTTCCTCAATTATGTTTGAAATGTGTATGTTTTCTTACATTTTTGCATCATATTTGGGGTCCACCAGTTCTTTTCCTTGCACTATTTGTAATTTATTTCATATTATTTCATGACTAAGAATTTAAGGATTGTAACATTTTTTGGTGATGTTTTCTATTCATAATAAAAGTAGTTCAACGTCTGGATATATTAAAAAATGGTTGAAGGAAGCTGGTCTTGTTACTAAAGTAAACCTTCCTATAAATAAATGCAGAAACATCTGTGAAGGGCATAGTCTGAATGTGGCAGACGTACGAATTGCGTCAATTCCCGTCTTGCGGCCAAGATTTCTTCCTTAGGCTTTCTTTATAACTAATGTCGTGGCAGAGTTTCACATTCTCACAGCATTAAGCAAGAAAATAGTCAAAAGAAATGGTGCCAAGTGACCCTCTTTCTTAGGTTAGCCAGAGTTAGTGATTTGTACTCACCAAGGAAAAGTACGGAATGTTTTTGTTTTTACTTTTGGGGGATTGAAAACCTGAGATCTCTCCTTCAAATTCATTTTTAGCCCTGGCTTTAGGCAATTTTTCAAATATCTAACTGCTAACTGCTTTCAAGAAATTATTGTGGTATTGCAGGGAGCTATGTTCAGTAGAAAAAGAAGGTGCAAATTCTTTCCTAGAACACCATAGACCCATCAAATGACTTGTTTTAGAAACAACCGAAATTTCTTTTATAAAGGCACAAAAATGCTAATTGAAACCAAACAGGAAACAAACCCCACAAGTACTGAGGGGCTAGGGGGAGAGTGGAGGAAACATTCTTCTCATGGAAAACTGTCTGAAGCTACAAGCTTGTGTATTTTGCTCTGATGATTGTAAGTTAAGATGGGGTGATTTAGCATTTTTAAGATAAAAATTAGTCAGGACTGTAAGAACACTGTGTACCTTTTCAGGTGCCTGTGAAAATCCTCCTAGAATACCTGTCTGGTGCTCTGCCTTTCCTCAAGACTACCTCATACTTGCTCTGGCTTGGACACTTCTGCGTGATAAGGTGAGTCAGAAAATTTGCATTCCTTACATGCATTCTAGAAGAGCATCACTTTCAGTGACTTTTTTTAAAAAGTTTTCAAAATTTTGAGAGACTTTTATAAGTTGTGTTCACTGGTGAACTCTTAAGAATCGTTATTTGTAAGCCCCTTAATAGAGAAGTACAAAGCATAGTTAGTGTTAGTGTCTGTTGCCACTGTAATAGAATTCCTAGGTCCAATTTTGGGTTCACACTAAAAGTACCATAAAACTTGCTTTAGGTTTCAAATTTGGAGTCTGAAGCAAAAGTTTTCAAAGTGGTATACACTCTTAGGCTTTCTGAGCACTGTTCAACTAATGCTTTAAATTGGCAGCTTAAGAAGCAGAGAAATATTTCTAACAGTAATAGGTTAGAAAGACTTGGTGACTAACTGGTTTTTCTGACTTCTTCATAAGCACGATAAGTCTGGAATATCCTGTAGTTTGAGCTTCCATCTCTTCAGTAATGTCCAAAATTGGTTTTGTTAAGTAAAAAGGGGGCACACAGTCTCTATAGGTGAGGATATACAACTAAATTTTGTTTTGCTTGCTTTTAATATGCTTGCTGTGTGTCATTTCTTGTTTCTTGAACATTTAAGTGACTTACTGTTCCCAGAAGGGAAAATCAGTTGACCTTGTTTGTAGTAAGTGAACCACTTACTAATAAACTGTTCACATTTTACAGGTGAATAAACTCTTTAAGGGCACCAACCAGCGTGCTGTTCACTTACTAATAATAAACTGTTCACATTTTACAGGTGAATAAACTCTTTAAGGGCACCAACCAGCGTGCTGTCTCATAAATTCCTTAGTCCCTCATTTGCAAGTTACGGGCTTGATTTTTGACTAGATGATGGATCTTGAAGGTCTCACATAAATTAATTTCCCCTTGAAATAAAAAAGTATAACTTAGAACCTTCTAGTAATTGCTAGATTATGTGGAGGGCCTGGACTCCTAAAACCACAAGTTCATATTTGCACTGGTTTTCCCATAGACCCTCCTATGTTGCTTGTGGCATTAGCAAAAACTGTGACTAGGCCACAAGTGCTGAGAGTGAAAGATAATCTGATTATAGTTAGGCAATTTTGTTATATCTGTGTGAGAGCTGAAATGTCCTATTCATTCTTTATTTGTAATGCCCTGCTATTTGTAATACAGTCTAAAAAAACAAAAGCATAGGAAAAAATGTATTGTGTAGTTCAACTGACTGAAGTTCACTGTGTGGATTTGATAGTCAGTTAAATTTTACTTTTAGCTTCCATTACTGATGAAGCTGTACAGTAAAGCTTTCTTTTATACATTAATTATTCTCTATTTAGGAGGATTTATGTGTAAATTACACCAAGAGGAACTGTGTGGTTCAGGCTTAGTCTTTAGGGATTGTATGTATTTGGGTTTGAACATTTCAATTATTTTGTTTCTCTGCACTGCTAGTGGTTATCCACTAATACAGGTGGGGATTCTACGAGTTGCTTGGTGTTTGCTGCTGAAGAGTTTTCATATTTTGCTACTTCTTCTCAAATGCTCAGCATGCTCAAAATTAGCAGCCTTTGATTCTTTACCTACCAGTGCAGAGAAACTCTTTTAAATTACTGCTGTTTCTCTTTTTTTAAATGAAGTTTTGTTTGTTGTTTTATAATAAATGAAGGGTCTGCCCAGGGCTGTAGTATGAAAACTTTTTTGGCTACTGCAGTAACCCAGCTTACTCACAGTAGAGGTGACTTCCCTAAGCCTTTCTGAATGAAGCATCTAATTTTAGTCATGTGAACTTTGATGAGCAACAAAACCAGCTTTGAAGTCTCACTATTGCTACACTGTAAAACTGTGTTGTTGTTTTTTTATGGAGCTACTTTAAATTTTTGATATCTTCCAATCAAAATATCTTTCTACTAAATCACATTTTCTTCATAATGATGCAGGTTCTCGAGCCATTTTTCTTTTTAGAGAATGTGCTGATAGAGAATAATTCACACTTTATTTATCATAAGCCACCTTTGTTAAGTTTATAAATTTGAAGCTGTGTGAGAACAAACATTAAAGCTCATATTTTGTGTAAAAAGGCAGATAAGATAAAATAGAATACATTTTGCAGATTATTTATTTCTTGCTGCTTCTGTTTGAAATACAATCTTCCCCCATCCCTCTTTTCTGGTACCTTACCACAAAAAGCATTAGTGAGGGGGAAATGATGATAAACAGGATTTACCTCTATAATCTTCTTTCAAAACCGCCTTGCAAGTAATTTCCCATAGTTTCTAGAATGAAGCATATGGTGGTAATATACTGTGTCTCTGGTAATGGGGAATAGTTTCAACATACTCTCAATATTTTATATTTTAAGTTGTGTGTGTGTGTTTTCAGGTTAGGTTTTCTCTCCCAGGTGGATGTAATGGATTTTATTTTTTATATGTTTACATTTGGTTTTAAGGGTTTAGATGGGGGCATTTCTGAATAAACTTTATTGTTACAGATAATTTGTACACAGACTTAAGAAGGCTTGAAATGATCTTGCAGAGAAAACAACTTGGTAGAAGAAGTGGGGGGGGGCATGTTTTCTGTAATTTAAGTTGCCATGGTAACCTGCATCAAGAAATGTACTTGGAATCCAGGCCTGAAGAATTTTAGTAACAATAAACATTCCGATTGCATTCATCGTCCCTTTTTTGGCCAAGAAAGGAGCTATCCATCGTGACCTAATTATTTTATTTCTGTTTTAGAAGCTGGGTAGCAGTTTGCACTTTTAAACTTCCCTGGCAGAGTAAAAAGGAAAAGCTCAACTGTTTTATTTGAGATTGACATTTTTTCATAATATACCATAAACAATTATTTCGAATTTTGAGATAGTTTCAGTATGATGGTTATTTAATGAAATATGAAAGAAACAGGATTTGATGAGGATTGAGGAGATGAAAATCTATTAAGAGTATCGGAATCTGGTTTTTGTGGAGCTCTGATTTAGGAATGTTATGACTTTTCTAATATGAACCTGTTTATATTTTTATTTTATGGCATCTTGTATTGCAGTCTTAATTAGGCACAAATGTGTTTGAGTAAAAAGGATGAGGTATCATTTTTATTAGCAGAGTAAGTTTCCTTTGAGAAATTTATGTCCAGACATTATTTTTAGATATCCTGTCTTTCACAGAGGACAGTAGGATGTTGTTTTTAAAGAAAAAGCTGTTTGTAGGGTTTGCTTCTCTCTTGCCTTCTGCAAGATATTGATTGCTAACTGAGATTATTTGAAGTTCGAAACATTTTCCTTATGCAAGGAACATTGGGACAAATAAGGAGATAAGGACATGTGTGTGTGGGTACATATGTGTTCAATCATTTTAGGAAACTTGGAAAATAAATTGGAAGAGTTCATGGCTAGTCTAATTAATAAAAAATACATAAAAAATCATTTACAGGAAAATGTAAAGGAAAATAAAATCACCCATTATCTCACTGCTTAGAGATATCCACTATTAATACTTTGTGGGAAGTATTTATAATTTTATAAATGAAATTGGAATAAAGCTGTCAAAAGCCAAAATACTAATAGTTTTGAAACAGTAGGATTTTATCTTTTATTAGAATTAGCAGCATACCTGCTATCATCACTACTATCTAAAATAGCACTGAAATATCGAGCCAGTATATTAAGAGAAAAGGGGATGAGAGAGAGAACTGTTGGAAAGGAAGATATAATTATTTGCAGATAATAAAAAATTCCCAAGACAATTAAAACTAACAGAGTTTAATAGAGTTCCGTTACAAATAATGTAAACATCATCTTTTTTGTATGTAGTAATAATAATCAGTTCAAAATTTTGAGAAAAAAGGAGTCCATTCATAGTAGTAACAAAAAGTATGTTGAGGATTAAACTTTGTAAGAAATGCGAATGGCCTTTAGGAAGGAAACTATTAAACTTTACTCTGAGAATGAGGAGACTGAATGTTTCTGGATAAGAAGACAGTTCTTTATGTATTTTTAATCTCTTTATATTGATTTATAAGTGTAATATAACTCTAATCAAAATATTAGCAGGAATTTTTCACAGATCAGTGATTGTTAATTTTATTTTTATAGAATAAGTAAGAGCCAAGAAATGTGTACAAAGAATAATAATGAAGAGAAAGTTGTAATGCTAGATAGTACTTAAAGAATAGTATGATGCTGATAAAATAGATAAATACCTGGAGCAGAATAGAAAGCTGAGAAGAATGTTGTATTAAGAAAATGCCATTGCGTGTTGCCGGACACGGAAAAAGACAAAAGACAAAAAAAAAAAAGAAAATGCCATTGCAAATAATGAATATAAAATATACTAATAAATACAATAAAAGAGAATATACATGAATATCTGATCTTGGATTTGGGGAAGGATGTGCTAAAATACAGAAGCAAAATTGAAAACAAGGGAACAATTTGTACATGTAGTTATATTAGAAATAAAATAATTAAATTTTGCATATATCAAATCACAAAAAGGCAAACAATCACCTGGGAAAAGTATTCAATTTGTGTATTCATTTTCTCTCTCTCCACTTAATTCTTTGTGTATTATATATAATTGCATTCTAATGTATAACAGTTAATACCTGTATTTATAAATAGTAAGAAATAATCAATACCCCATTTAAAAATTTGTTTGTGGCTCTTAGTGGACACTTTAAAAAATACAAACTGCTATAGACTTAAAGGTTTGTTCACTCTTTATAATTAACGAAGAAATATATTTGGCATATTATGTTATTGAAGATTCAAAAATATGTGCATGACACACATTTGAATAACCCATACATAAAACATAATATGCAGACCTGTGTAATTTCTAATGCTGACAGTGAGAGAAGTAAGATCAGAAGGCTCGGGCAGTGTAACTAAAAGGTAAGCTACTGTGCAGCCAATAAAAGAATTTTTCTGTCTACCCACCTATAGATTTTTAAAATCACTATTTAATGAAATGGAAAAAACAATAGTAACCTGAAAAGTGACAATA